TGCTATGAGCAACATTGAAGCTAACAATGCCTCCATTAAAATGACTTCCCCTACTCTTGTAGAAGCAAGAACATTCTTGGAAGTTTCTGATTTCTTCGAGAACTTTGATAACTAGGATAAGGCATCAAAATGGTGGAAGATAGTCCAGACTTAGGATTTGAGGATTCTAATGTTTTATTTGTTTTTTTATGTATTATTCTTGGTTGGTTGTTCCCAAAGAAGAACAATATGGTTATTTAATAAAATTATTATGAAATTGATTCCATATTTATTATTTGAAAATTTCAATCCCATGACTAATTTGAAAAGTTTTATGATACTTAACATATAAAGTTGTCAATACAAGTGTAAATGGGAATCACCAAGCAAAAGAAAGATGTTTGTTTGCTTGATAGTACAACAACACATACCATACTTTATGGCAACCACTTTTTCTTGAGTGTGACATTGCATAAGGCGAATGCCCATACAATATCAAGTCTCGTTGAGATTATTGATGGCTTTGAGAATGCCATAGTTGTTCTACCAAATGGCACCACCTTGCATGTCAAGGATGCATTGCTAAGTTGTAGATTGAAGAGGAATTTACTTAGCTTCAAAGATTTACGCCACAATGGGTATCATCTTAAGACAATTTATAAGCAAAATAAGGAATGTATCTACATTACCTTTTATAAGATGGGCTAGAAAACCATCCATGAGAAATTGAAAGCTTCAACTTTAGGATTGTATTGTGTCACTATTAGAGCTATTGAATCCCCTTTATTCTTGCAAAGAATTCAAGGGTGATATTTGTGGACCAATATAACTAATAAGTGGGCCGTTTCAATATTTAATGGTATTAATGGACGTATCTTGCAAATGGTCCCATTCTTACCTGTTATATACGCGTAACGTCACCTTTGCATGTTTACATGCACAAATTATAAATCTCTGGGAACACTTCCCGGATTATCTAATTAAGAGCATAAGGATGGATAATTCAGGTGAATTTATGTCAAAGAGCTTTGATATGTATTGTGTTTTACTAGGAATCAAGGTTGAGCACTTGTTTTCACATATTCATATTTAAAATAGATTGACAGAATCCTTAATTAAATGCATCCAAATTATCGCTTGTACTTTTTTATTAAGGACAAAGCTTAACTCTTCTACATGGGTCATGCTATTTTACTTACGGTGACACTAATTAGATTATGCCTTACTGCTAGCCCCTTGCAATCTTCCATGCAGTTGGTTCTAGGATATGAACTAGGCATTTTACATTTATGCACCTTTGGTTGCATTGTACAGGTGCTTGTAGCATCACCAAAAATGACTCAAATAGGTCCTCAACGTTGTTTGGGCATTTACGTTGGTTTTGATTCACTGCCAATCATTAGGTTCTTAGAACCATAGGTATTGAGGTTGAGCACCTAGTTTCACATATTCATACTTAGAATGGATTGGCAGAATCCCTAATTAAACGCATCCAAATTATCATTCGTTCTCTTTTATTGAAGACAAAGCTCAACTTTTCTACATGGGGTCATGCTGTTTTACATGCGGCGACACTAATTAGATTGCACCCCATTGCTAACCCTCTGTAATCTTCCATGCAATTGGTTCTAGGCTATGAACCAGACATTTTACATTAATGCACCTTTGATTGCATTGTACAAGTGCTTGTAGCATCACCAAAAATGATTAAAATAGGTCGCCAACGTCATTTGGGCATTTACGTTGGTTTTGATTAACCATCCATCATTAGGTTCTTAGAACCAATGATGGGTGATCATTTAATCACTAGATTCGCGAATTGTCATTTTGATGAGATAGTGTTTTCATAAATTGGGATACATAGGGCTTCCATTGCTAAGATGTAGAAACCAGTTGAGAATTCCTTCTGAATGAGAAAAATCTATCCCACTTAAACATAAAACTCTTGAATGTGAAAATGAGGTGCAACACATAATCCATTTACAAGCTATTGTTAATAAACTTCTTGATATATTTAATGATACTGCCAAGGTCATGAAGTCTCATATTTTAACTGTGAATTCTCCAACTAGGATTGTTGTTCTTGAAGGATAGGCTGAAATGGATCAAAATGGCCCATGCTTGAAGTGTGGAAGACCAATAGGATCAAAAGGCACTACCCCTTAAAAACGAAAGGGGAAGAATAAAGAATTTGCTCCAGAAAAGCCTAGTATTGAGCTTGCTCCAAAAGAGCCTATTGCTCTTAAAGAGGCACAAACCCATGACAAGATCATTTACGCTAAGAATATTGAGATCTCTATAACATATTGTAATGAGATTTGGTTAGAATGAGATAATCATTAATGATGTTTTTGCATTCTCAGTTGCTCATGAGATTATGAACGATGATTATGAATCGTTATCTATCATCCGATTTCGTCAAAGCCAAGATTAACTCGAGTGAGGGGAAACAATCTAGGCTAAATTGGCTTCCCTAGCTGAATGAGAAGTTTTTGGACCTATAGCTTGAACCACTGACAATGTGAAGCTTGTTGGATTCAAGTAGGTCTTCGTCCAAAAATGAAATGAGAAAAATGAGGTTGTGAGATATAAAGACCGACTTGTAACCCAAAGCTTTTCTCAAAGACCTGGGATTGATTATGATGAGATGTATTCACTTATAATGTATAAAATTACCTTTCGTTTCGTTATTAGCATAACTATTTTTGAAAAACTAGAATGCTTCTTATGGACATTGTGCTAGCATATCTATATGGTTTATTAGACTTCGATATTTATATGAAAATTCCTGAGGGGTTCAAAATTGCTAAAGCATACACTTCTCGTAACTTGTTCTCAATAAAGTTGCAAATATCTTTATATGAGTTAAAGCAATTTGATAGCATGTGGTATCAATACTTAAGCGAGTACCTAATTAAGGAAAGGCACAAGAATGATCCTATCTACCCATGAGTGTTTGTTAAGAAATCAAAAACTGGATTTGCTGTGGTAGCAGTTTATGTCAACGATATGAATTTGATTTGAACTTTAGAAGAGTTATCTAAAACTATTGAATATTTGAAAAAAGAGTTTGAAGTTAAAGATTTGGGTAAAACTAATCCTTGTCTTGGTATAGAGCTTGAGTACAAAGCAAATGGAATACTTGTCCATCAGTTAGCATATATGGAGAGAATGCTTGGACATTTTAACATGGACAAGGCTCATCTATTAAGCAACTTTGTGGTTGTGAAGTCTCTTAACCCACAAAAGGGCTTGTTTTGTCCAAGAGAACCTGATGAAGAGATATTTAGTCCTGAAGTACTATATCTCAGTGCAATTGGGGCTTTGATGTACTTGACACAATGTACAAGACTAGATATTGCTTTTGTGATACATTTGTTGGCACGTTTTAGTTCTGAGTCAACCTGGAGACATTGGAATGAGATAAAATATATCTTCTGTTATCTTTGAGGAACCATAGATTTGGGATTATATTATTCCAAGGATTCCACTAACTCTGGTTTATTTGGATATGCTGATACGACATATAAATCTGATCCGCACAAGGCTCACTCTCAAACTAGTTATTTATTTTGCTATAACGGCATCGCCATTTCTTGGCACTTTACTAATTAAACTCTAATAGCTACATCCTCCAATCACTCTAAAATTATCGCTCTATATAAAGTTGAAAAAGAGTGTATTTGGTTGAGATTCGCTGTAACACATATTCATAATTCTTGTTATTCAACATCAGTTACAAATTCTCCAACCATAATTTATGAAGATAATGCTGCTTGTGTTGCACAAGTCAGGGGATGATATATTAAAGGTGATAGGACCAAGCATATCTTGTTAAACAGATTCGATAAGTTGACATTAAATAGATTCGCTCCACCAATAATCTTGCAGATTTTTTCACCAAGTCATTGCCAACGTCAACATTTGAGAAATTAGTATATGGCATGGAATGCGGCAAAAGATTGATTTGCCTTTGGAGTGGTGAAGTATCAATTACCCTAAAAGTGGTAAGCCTCAGAAGCGTTAGACTCTAGAAGTGGCAATGTGGTTCAATTGAGGGGGGGCAATTATGGACTTAGTGCATTGTATTCTTTTTCCTTTTTATCCAATTTTTGTCCCACTAGCTTTTTCCAACTTAAGGTTTTTAACGAGGTAGTAATAGCACGTCTAACCAGGCCCCCACAGTCATGTTCCGTCAATGTTATAGAATATAGAATATAGACATATCACACCACATTAGACCAATTCAAATTAAAGTAAATTAGATAAATGATAAATGTATTATCCACATTCTAGATATTTCAAGATTCATCTACATGTGGATATTATCTAAGTGATAAGTGAGATTCATTAAGAAGATAATGTTATTTAGAGATGTATCTTAATAGGAGATTGTGATAACCATTGATCTGTGAGGGGTTTTAACTATAAATAAGGGGTCACCCCACCCTCATTTTGTATCACAGTTAATTTTTATTCCAAGCATTGCTTCAGTAATACATAAATAGCATTATCTCAATATCTATCTTTTCATTCAATTTTTATTATTTCTTTTACAATAAATATAAAATAATAATTATGATAATATTATATTGATGGTAAATCTATATTAATATAAAGATAAACATTGGTTGAGTTAATATATCTTATCTAACATGAGTTTTCTTCAAATTAGTTGTTTAAATGTATAACATAAGGGGCACTTTTAGCAAACTTAACACTAGGTACTTCTCATTTCCTTTCATACAAACTATATGCTATTTTTTTTTAGTGTCAAGAGGGAGTACTATCTCAAATTCCATCTCCATGTTACCTCCTAAGCTACACTCATCATGAGTTCTATACAGTACAATCTCAACCAAAAGCAATTGCACTAGCATTGTAGGTTTTACAAGTAATATTCACAATTTTAGCTAGTGAATTTACAACATTGCAGAATTTTACAAGACATCCACAATGCTAGCAGCTTAATTTATCTTATACCATACAAACTACACATTCTTGGTGTTCTTTTCGGTACATCATAAAATGAAGGGGACCTCTCTTTCTTGCAACTCTATACTATCTTTACCAGAAGAGCAGATAAATTGGAAGTCACCAATTCCATCATAGAATAGCCCACCAAACTCATCATCACTTCCTGCTTGTTGGTTCTTTGGCTCATCATCTGCATCAGTGCTTTCATCTTCAGGCACATTTGCATTCTTTTCTACTAGTTCTCTGAATATGGAAGATCGAAGGAGCAGGCCTAGTGCTGTAGGTGATGAAGACTTGTTGTATGAGTTGACAGGAATTTTGCCTTCAACAACTTCTTGCTTTTGTGGAGAGTTCAAGTACTCTGTAGCAAATGAGTGGTAGAATGAGGACTTAGACTCCTCTCTTGGGCTGTAGCTACTTGCTAATGGTACTGATTCAGATTCCACCATCCCCAGTGATTCATTAGCAGCAACTGGATTATTTGTCCCTGGCTTTAACCATCTAATGTAAGTACTCAAATCGAAGTTGGTCACAGCATTTATCCCCCTATACTCAATTGCTGCAATGTCATAAGCGCGAGCAGCCTCCTCTTGGGTGCCTGCAATGAGATAAAACTTGTTGTTTAGGCCAGTAGAACCCTGTTATTTATACTAATCCGTATCTTGTTATTAATGGCTGAAAGGTTGTCATATTTAGCACAGGAAACTAAAGAGGCTTACTGTAAGTGCCAAGGTAGAGATATTTGTTGCCAAAGACTCTCCCTATTCTTGCTTCCCATCTTCCATTGTGATGGTGCCTGCATGTTTTTAACCAAAGAAACTTTTAGTTTTGTTGTGCTGTTGCATAAAAAATACAGATATTAACCACCAAATTTTCAAGAAGATTACCTTGCAACTCCCCTGTACTTGGATACACCTCTTGAAAACCCACTGCTCTTTCTGTAACCAACAAAATCCAATTGATTTTATCAAGTAAGAATAAGCTTTAGATAGTTACCAGTTTTTGATTTGATAGATGAAGCCTTACCTTCTTAATGAGGCCAAATACTCCTCTTTTGCGACAGTTTGCATTATCTCAATCTCTTTTTCATAATCTGATATCTGCAGAAATCATCTAGGGAGTTAGATAAATTTTTTTTATGCTGCTTTTCGCAATATTTGCAGAAACCAAGGTCTTGAGGTTTTGTTTGTGAGATACACACTATCCATACCGGAAAATTGGTGAAAGTTGATGTCCCCCAATACTTAAGAGCAGCTAAATCATAAGCTCTTGCTGCGGCTTCTTCATCATCATAAGCTCCTGAGAATTTTAGAAGAGAGCATGGTCATTTTCTCTGTAGTATACAAAAGATGATTCGCTGGGTGGTATAGAAAAGTGAAACTTGACATAACAGCAAATTGATGCTGCACTCACCAAGATAAACTGCAGGTTCAAAGTGTCAATCCCACCACGCGGATCGATGGAAGAACATAAAGATCAGGCAACAGGTAAGAATCCAGAATTCAAAATTATAATGAAAAAGTGCAATGCAAGTAAGAAACACAGTTTACCTTGTTTCCCTTTCTTCTTCTGTGTAACATTCCAAGAGAGCTTATCCCACAAGTGGGCTTCATACCGGCCAGTCCATCGATGTCTGTTCATTTCCATATAAGGCAAAAGTTAGCCATAGAGAAATAAAACAAGGGTAAAGTTTGTCTAGATGAAACAATCTCAGAATACTAGAAAGGTCTTGTTTGCACCTGCTGACTCCACGAAACCTTGAACTTCTTTTCACTGTGGTAGCCGCATTGGTTTGATCGTTTTGTTGCTGTGGCTGCTGACCTTGATTATCATAACAGCCAAGAGCAACTGAAGCTGGATCTCTTCGCCTTCTTTTGACACACCTTGTCGCTTGTATCTCACCATCGGCTGAGCAAATGCGTCGCCTTCCTTGGAATTGTTCATCCTTAACCAGAATCATTTCCATCTCTTGGTACCTTGATTCTTTTCTTCTTTCTTCTCTCCTTTGCTATTTCTTTTTTTAAATTTCTATGGCTGCTTGACCCATGGAGAGCAAGAGTTCGTGTATATATAACGCGCTTGTGAATTTTGGAGTTTTTAGGTTTGGTGATTGGTGTAGAAACTATTGTTTAAGTCAAAACAACTGTGTCGATGATCTCTATGAGCAATTAAGACAAGTTTGCAATGTCCATACAAATTTTAGATCTCCATATTCTCTTCGCCAGCCAAATTATACATACATACATATATATATATATATATATTAAAAAAACGATTGTTTAATTCATTTCAAATTTGCTTCACAAAGTCGGTTTGGTATTTGTGCATCAAGTAAGGTCAAACATTTGCTGCCATTCCAAGGGATGTTAGTCTTTTGCAAGTTTTTCCTATTTTGGTTTCAGCAGCGCACAGGAAGTTGTGAAACTCTGATTAACCATTAGAAAACCAAACCGCAACGGAGAATATAAGTGCTTCATGCATGGTTCCTAGAACACCCAACTTGATCCACTCGTGCTAGGGTCAAGACTCAAGACCTTTGCTTGTTGTAAAGTGATCACATTGGTAGATTGCTAGAGATGGCAAAATATGTTCTACTGCTAATAATTTAGAACTTAGAAGTAATCGCCTCTCAACCTCATGAACAGTAGCTGTCCGGACAGGCTAAAAACCGTCAAACTCGAAAACTGTTAAACATGCACGGTTGTAAAACGAGGCAGGAAAATTTAAACAAACTCCAACTAAAAACAAAGAAAGTACTTGTGAGTAGAACTTTCCTCTGACTAGTTCAGACATGGCATCACCATATCAGACAAGTTAAATATATAACAAATTATGTTTGGTATAACTTACAAGAAGTTGTCCGGAAATTCCTTTGAGCTTCTTGTTTTCTGCGAAAGGGGGTAAAGATCATATACTGTTAACTTTACATAGCATAGCATGGTAATTCATAGTGACACACTGACAGCTTTTGGGTTCAGCTACTTTGGATTCCCCGTCCAGTTCGTTATGTTCTTGAGTATCATTTCGAACTGACACTCTTGGTAGCTCTTTTCAGGGGAGCCTGTGCTCAGAATGGAGTTTGTTCACCCTACGAAGCTCTGACTGAGTTTCCTATGGAATCAACAAGCAAAATATTCTTCTAGACAATGTGAACTTGCTCTTTATTTCAGGTTGGAGTGGAGGGTAGTACAAGAAATTAATTCCCTCGGTATTCTTCTTAGAAAATACTTAGATGAAGCATAACCTATTACAAGTTTATTAAGTTCTCTCAGTCCACTTTTGTCTGGAATGAATACGAAAGTGCTATTAGTTTATGAAGGTTGATCAATAAGATATCATTGACTGATGCAGTCTTGGTTATATCACATATCAATGATCTTGTATGTTCCTACCATAAGTTTTCTTAAATGTGTCTATGGAAAGTCAAAAAAACACTACAATAAATTTGATGTAGGACTATATATTTTTAAAATGTGCTATTAAAAGTATTTTTATTAACACCATTTCTATGCTTTTTGTAGTGATATTATAGATTTGACTGCATTATACAAAATTTTAATAGTATTATGATTAAATTGTAACTATAAAGATACTATATATCAGTAAAGACTATACCTTTGCCATTGCCATTAAATATAAGACAAACGTGTAATTAAAAGTTTAAATATCGACCCCTTTTAAGATTTCAATTTATAAAAAGATACGTCATCTAAAGATGTATAACTAAAACGTAAATTTGTTGTAGTGAAATCTATAGAATTGACTTTGAGGTTTGATGTAAACATGCCACTTCCCTTTCGATATGTTTTGCTTACTAGAAAATACCTAATATAATCCGCCTTGTTTAACCAAGACTATCAAAAGAAAAAATTAATCCCCCTTTTTTTTTTTTTGTGGATTTGGAGAAGGAGGATTTGAATCCTACTATTTAAGTAGGGAGATTATGCACCAACTAATGAGTCAAATGTTCAAGTGTAAAAGTTAATCCTTTTTTATCTTAATAAAGTGAGTTATTAAGATATTAATACGATACTTATAGTTTTTCAAAAAAAAAATGATAATTATATATCAAAATTATCTAATAATTTAAAATTATCATATTATTTGATAAAAGGAGTTGCATAAAAAGGCATGAGGTTTTTCGCCATAAAACAATTACAGTTCCAAAAAAATAATAATGTGGAACACAAAAATACTTTCATTTCTCTAGAGAAAAACCATTCTTTCTTCATTATCAAGTTAAAAGTTTTTGTACTGTAAAAAGTGTGTGGTCACTACTCGTTTTTGTAACCATTTTCCTCTGCACTTTTGTATGACTCATAAAATATCTAGAATCATCTTGAAGAGGTTTATTTGAAAAGTTAAAAGACTGATAAGGATTTGAATAAAGTAAGATTATTTTGAATTTTTATTAAATCTGTATTTTTCCTACATTATATCAAAACCTACTTGGACGTTTTCATGTTCTTATGAGTTAGAATTGATGTTTGCCCTATAGTCAATCGGTTAGTTATGAGTCACATTCATTTTATTTTATGCCTTGCATTTAATTAATGAAGGCTTTCTTTAGCTATAAGTTTATATATAATTGTCATTATTACTATAAAGATGAATTGCATGGAATAAGCATACTTTGCGAAAAGAATTATAACATGTTATAATTATGATTTTTTTTATTGCTTCATAGTATATAGATAAAGTCGAGAGATTGAAACATATTATATTTCTTACTTATGAAACAAGTAATCATTCTCATAGGTTGAAGTATAGAGATATTGAAATAAACATGAGTGCTTATCGAATGAACAGCTTCCTTGAAAATGATCCACTAGGAGAATTTCATTTGATATTTCACTCATATGTTTATGGAAACAAGTTCTCATGTGACAATTGTGTAAGTGATCCTTAAACTTGATGCATGTGGAGTATTATATTTTTTATTATTTTATGCTCTCTTAGCCAAAGATTTTCAATGGGACCAATATTAGGTATAACATGAAGCATATGGAGATAAATGAATGCCCAATAGAGGGTTCATCACCTTGATTTGAAGGGGAATATTTCACTATTTCTTGACATATATTAACTCAAGAAAGTTCTTGACTAAGGTAGAATGAATATTCGGAAAGGAATTCTCGAATTTTATTGAAGAGTTAATAATTAGTTTCTAAAGCTAACAAAGTTAAGGCATATATAGAGTAGACATCAAACCATGCACTATCAAAATATTAGTTGATGCAAGGATCGAATTACATGGTAAGATTGTGCGTTGAAGGATTAAGTCGAAACACTTTGAATTTTCTTAAAATTTAGATGGTCATGACATACTGTTAGATGTCAATCTTGAACTATAAATATTAATTAATTAATTCAAAATTAATGATGAATTCAAAAGAGTTTGATTTATCTAATTGTAATTGATTTAGGATTATAAATCATGTTTAATATTAATATGTTAACAAGTTAATGGGTCACACACATTAAAAGTAACAATTTGAGAAATTGAAATGGAAAACACTACTAAAAAAATTAAGCTTTATTGATGGAAAAATCGATCGTTAAAGGTGTGCATTTCAACGGTAATTGAAATTACCGATGAAAAATCTATTGATAATCAGTCGAAAATATCTTCGTCAGTAATAAGTTTCTGTCAGTATTTTAAAATTCCATCGGTAACATCATCGACTAAAATTTTTGTCAATATTTCCTGCAGTACAAATTAGATTCGTCAATGAAAAAATTCATTGGTGAAGTAAAAAATCTGTCAATAAAGTCATTGACCAAAAGTTTTGCTGCTGGTAAATCCATCGATAATGTATTGACAAATCTCGTGATCAACAAAGTTGTTAGTAAGTTACTGATGGAATTCCCAACAAAATTAGCAACTAAAATTTTTTTCATGTTCTATCGATAATAAAAAATAAAATACATCGGTATTAAAAGAATTTTGTCTGTAATAATTAACTTTTTGTAATTTTTTTATTTTGTGTTTCCTGCATCAAATAATAATAATATTAATATATTAAAAGTAATAATTTTGTTTGAAAAATTACTCCAAATGTATTATATAATGGAAAAAACATGCCACATATTTCGAAAATTAAAAAAGAAATGTCATCTCAAAATCAATGAAAAACATTAATTTAAGAAATCTATAGCACAACGAAAAGAAATTACGATTGTCCATCGGCCAAATCATTTGGGAAGGGAGACTACTGTTGTGATTGAGGATGCGACTATTATGATGATGAAGACCCATTAGTTGGATCTGGAAGCCTCTCAAGGATAACCTTCATGATGGACTTAATATCATGCATGTTAATCTTCAACTTCTTCACGTCGCTCTTCATATCTTGATAGCCTTCAAGTTCAGATGATGAAACTTATGCAGCAACAACAGAAGGCATTGGACCACAGGTAGACTTAGATGTTGCAGCTAGAGCAAATAGTGTGGCACATTGCTTTTTGGTGTTAAACTCGTAGACATGGGCCTGAGTGGTTTGCGGCTCTCTAATTGACTCAACCATGCTACTGGATCTAACTCCAATTGGAATGATGGATCATCACCGTACTTCTACAATATAACAAATGTATATGATTTCTACCAATAGAAAAGAAAATGACATTATATATTAATGAAATTGTTAAGTAACATATACTCATATTCAATAATATAATTAAAATAAACTGACTCATTTCTATTACTTACACTAACGGTCTTCGACTTATTATCTACAAACTCTCTGGTACTTTTCTATTGCTTGAAAGTGCGCTAAAAAATCTTGAAGAATATCACTGGTCTTTATAACATCTCAGACTACAATCACAATAAGAAAAAAACAACGCTTCATCACCAATATACATGTTTTCGCAATCTTCAACAACACAATGACAACATGTTTTAAAATTGTAAAACAATGACAACACATAAGACACTCAAAAGAAAAACAAACACATTATCAAAAC